TTCTCAGCTCAGGTTCTTGTGTTTTCAATCAATGGCACCGCTGGGCACAGCGAATGTTAGAGGCCTCAATCTCTGAAAGGCTTTTCTGAGTTCAAACCCCGGCCCATAAACCTTATCTGCATGTCTTCTCTCTCTTTTGACCCCATATCAGCATACTGCTAAATTAGAACTTTGTGAATTGTTGCTCATTATTTTCATTCATCTCACAATAATACCCACCTCTGTGTTTCTAATGTCAAACTTGAGGGTTGCTACTTATGATCAAGAGATCGTATTTTTTTTTATTTTTTTTTTTTATACTTTTAATATTTGTAATACTTTAACGAGGAAACAAAGATGAGAGCATAGATCTGCTGTTTGTTACCCAGGGTGTCCACGATGGTCATGCAGGTGTCGAGCGGCTGCTGACAGCTCTGACTGCTCTGGTTGCATTCATCATTGGTGGTGGAGGAGCTGCACACGAAACACTTCAGAGACGTTACTGCACAGAAATTAGTTATAGTCAGGTGAGAGATTAAGTTATAGGTTTTAATCCAGGCAGGATGGTAAATATTACAAGAAAAAGGCTGATATTTTTAGTGGAGTCTTAAAGCGACTTTTAAGGGATCCCAGGTTTTACTCATTGATGAATGAGTAAACAAAATCTTTCATATTCTTATTCTCTAATTGTATTTGTGCCAAATATCATGCAGTTTGTTTTTAATTTTGTGTGTTTCCTAATTGTGTTTTTTAAAAGAAAGTCGTCTCGATCACAGACTAAATGTTGAAACAAGATAATGGAGGTGAGGTTTACAGAGAGTCTGAAATCATAAAAAAAGTCTAAACTCCTAAGTTACATAAAAGTGCCTGTAAAAGGGAGAAACAAAGGCTTAACTGGTCAGGCTTGCTTGTTTAATTAGGAGCTTCTGTGTTGTTTGCTTCACATTTCATAGATCTGCTTTGCTTGTAACGTTATCAGATTCATGCATCATTATGAGAATTTACTCCTACTGTATAAATAAAATAAGTTCAAACTTACAAAGTTCCATCCCTTAAGAAAAAAAATAATAATTTAAATTTTTAATCTAAAGACTGGACAATAGTGGAAAGCATGTGTAGTTTTGATGCTTTGCATGTGATCCATTTACTGGATGTTTAGCCCTGTCTAGTTTCACATCTCTCCTCCTAACACACACCTAACTCATTACGTAACAAGCTGTAAACACATAATTAGTCCTCCCTGGTTTCATCTAACTTGTTTCTATTAATGCAGCCTTGCCTGAAGTTGTTTAAAGGGACCTTGCACAATTTTTCCAGATATAAGTTTTTGGGTTTTTTTTAATGAGAAAGCCTGTTGCTATTACAAAATAATACGAGACTCGGACATTCTGGATTGTCCAGGTAAGGCTGCACAGTGACACTGTTTATAAAGCAGCAAGGTCCTGGGTTCAGATCCCAGCCTAGGGTCTTTCTGCATGTAGTATTAATGGTCTCTCTGTGTGGTTCTCTGCAGGTTCTCAGGCTTTCTCAGGCCCTAAAACATGACTATTAGGTTAGTAGTTGACTATAAAATGCTGTTAGGTGTGTGAGTGTGTCTCTGTTGCTCTGCTAGACTGACAACCTGTCCTGGGTCCCATAGACTGCTGGAGGTAGGGACCATCCAACTGAGACCCTAACGGATGAGCGATGGGAGACGGATGGATTTTCAACATCTGGATAACTGGTCATCACTTTTCAGCTGATTAGGTCCATTTAATTCTTCAGCAAAAGCTGCCTGAATATTAATTATGATGTAAAAATTTTATTTTCCCATCTCATAGAGATTTGCTGGAGTTTAGCCTTCATAAAGTGACTCATATGTTCTAAAATTTCGAGAGTTAATCTCTAAGTAGCTAATCGGTGTAGCTATACAAGGAATATTTACTTTACTGATATGAAAATGTTTGTTTTAAAACAATAAAATGTGTAAAAAAAAGAAAACAGACGGCTAGACTGAAGAAATATGTGCTTCATCTCTGCAGAGTAAATAGGATTTTTTTTATTCCTATATTTATATTTTATTTAATGTATTTTTTAATCTTCAAGAAAGATTTTAATATCCAGTACTTTAATGAAAAATACATTGAACTATATGTGGAAGGAAACTGACTTCAGATATGATCAAAAAAAAACTGCATTATAATAAGTCATACAGATATGGGAAAATGACAGAAATGTCTGCAGTGAAAAAAACTTTTTTTAAAATAAATTCTTTAAATGAAATAATGTCCATAAATTGTTCTAAAATACATAATAATAAGACTGAAAACGTGACTTTAAATAGATTCCAGTTATCTGACAGCAAGTCACCCAACCTGCCTGCTCGTCTTTCTTTCTTTGGGCATTTTACAGTAAATCCTCCTACATAGAAAGTATTATTATTATTATTATTATTATACTGACATTTAGTCATCTTTATGCATCATTTCTTCAATCATTTCTCAAACTGGATACAATTTATTAGTATTTTAGAGGTTAGCTCACATACCTGGAGAGAAGAGGAAGAAGAGGATCACAAGGCTAAGCAACATCTTTTGATGTCAAAGTTTGCGTTCTGCGGTCAAACCTGTTATGTTCAGCTCGCCGTGTGTGTGTGTGAGTGTGTGTGCGGTTTCAGGTGTTTGCTCTAAAGCAAGCAGCTGGAGCAGATCCTCCCACATCAGACATCTCCTTGGCATCAAGCCAAATGTTTCCTCATTGTAATGGACATTCCTGGATGTTGGCAGTGGTTTCGTAGATACTTGTCATGCATATACCAGCTGTCAGTGGCAGACCGCTGTTACCGTATTGTATAACTTTCATTTTATGTAACTGCAGGTTTGAATTTCAAGAAAGCCTAGAGATCATAAGTGAAAACTTTTTGGATAATGGATTGTCCTTGTAATAGTTACACCTTTTCAATATTTTTCTTTTTTAATCATAAATCTTTTTAATGACCTGTTGGTCCTTAAAAGTGTCAGCTGTTATTTTGATTATTAAATCTACACCTGCGTTACATAACTAGTCGATTTTATTAGGCTCACTTCTGTCTGCTAAACAGAGGAGTGTTTACTCTCGCCTCGCTGCAAACACATGAACAAGCTTTTCAAGAATTTAGAAATAACACCCGGAAGGTCAGATGTGAATGTTTCATCTCATTCTATTAAAGGTTGAGCATGTTATGAGCGATATTTTAGATCCATTCATTTCATGATCCATTTGTTTTGATTGATATATTTTTGGTATTCAGTGTGTAATAGACCAACATAAAGTTTTTACCCAGAAGGATACCCAATTCTTACTTATCTAATGAGTGCAGTGAGCATTCATATCCCCCTATTCACTCTGATGCGCTTAAATAAATCCAGATGTATATATATATGTGTACATATTGTACACATTTATATTTGCTCTGCAAATATTTTTTTTTTATATTTGCAGTGGAAACATCTTGCAATGCTTTGGCTATTTCCTCCAGTTTATCATGGTTTCTTCACACCTTCTTGAAAGAACGAATGAAGGTTAATACAAATTCTGCAGGAATAGAAAGATTTGTTCTTTCAGTTAAGGAGGAAAGACCTAAAGTTGTTTCTGACCAACACCTTGCATTTATTTCTAACAGCTCTGTAGAGAAAGCAAGTTTCTGTTTTCCTGCGGTGGTATCAATGCTTTAAGCACAACCGAGGCTTGGCTAAGAAACATAAGAGCATAACTCAGCTGTCATTTTTTTTTTAAATGTATCCCAAAATGCATCTAATATTCAGAAATGATAGAAAATATCAATGGCAGTTATACTGTTTTATTACACAGAATTTAAAGAAATAACCCAGGTGAAACTAAATCTGCAGTTGCTTTTTAAATACAAGCAAGACTTGGCACCATTGCACAGCAGGAAGTTAGAAAACTATCCAGTGATGCATATTAAAATATGCAACATCGTGTCGTTGATTTACTAATTTCTGTGCCATCGAACAACCATTTAGGCAGATATTGTAGTAAATAGATCGTCCTTTCAATGCTGCTTTTATGGAGTTGTTCTACAAATGACATTTTAGCTTCGTCTTACAGCATTCAGTGGCCACAGAAAATAATTTGAACAAGACTGAGTCAGGATTTTGTGAAATCACAAATCGCATACAGAAACATCACACACAAAAACACATAACAGACTCCATTCAGTGGCTGAGGTTGTTGCAATGTACCTGAAGGTTACAGATAAAAAAAAAAAAAAAACACTCTTCCTCTTCCTGGAATCAGCTGAAATAAACATGGCTGTTAGCGTTTCTCTGAACTTTTCACAGACAAGTCTTCAGACCTGCTGCTTACGGAATAGCAACAAGAAATGAGAAACAGAAAGCTGTAATTTTCAACAATAAAAAAATGTATTACAGTATATGATTTAGATGGCTCATCTGAATATATAGTAAATGGCCTGTACTTGTATAGCACTTTTTCAAGTCAGAGGACTTGACCAAAGCACCTTACACTACATTGAGTCATTCATCCATTCACGCACGTACACTTACACACTGATGGCAGCAAGATGCATTGTAGCCACAGCTGCCCTGGGGCTCACTAACATAAGTGAGGCTGCAGTAGAATGTGAACTGCGTTGCCCAAGGACAAAACGACGCTGAAAGCCGGAGCCATGGTTTGAACAGACAACCCTCCGGTTGCAGGGCTTGTTTAAAGAAGTGGAGCTCACTTCTATTTAAAGGATGAGTTTCATTGCCACAAGTGAATTTTCCCAGCATAACAAGAGTATTGACCTTCCATTTTAAATGTAGAGTAACCACAGCATGATTTGAAGTGAAAGCTGGCTGGAAGGCATGTTTTATCTTTATATATTTCTAATCTGCAGTGTGAGATTATAAAGAAAATCCCCACTGTAGCTTCTATCTCCCAAAGTTTGGTCAAGAATCTTTTTAATTTTTGCACAAGCTTGTAAAGACATTTAACACGGACACAATCACTTTCTACCCAGAAACATCATGTCTGAAAAAACTTTATTAACTTGGATCAATCTTAACAGAAGGGTTGTAAAAGTTCTGAGCTGCTGCTTTTAGATAAATCCAGAACGTTTCTCTTTTATTTCAGATGGTTCTGATGTGCTTATGGCTACAGATAAATGCTGGACCAAGCATATAAATTATTCTAGATACATGCAAACTCTAAAATGGTAAAGAATGTTAAATTCACTTTCACCTGCATCTTAAACATTCCAGATGAGATCACTTTATGGTCTTTCTTCATTTTTAGTCAAGTCAAAAACCAAAGGCGATTTTCTAAATAATGCTTGATCTTTTTACAACACAGCAAAGAAATACAAAGCAGGAGTGAAAGGATGCTATTGATGGAAATGAGAAGCAACCAAGGATTAAAAACTGTCTACATGGTGTGTCTGCAGCTTCAAAATAAAAGATAAACCAGAGACAGACTCAAAGCATCAGCTCTGCTAATACAGTAGTGGAGATTCAGAAGCAGAACTGCTGGTCTCAGATCAGTCTGCCACCACAGCAGCCATGAGGGGAAGGTTCCTGTGTTTGATCAGTCCCTTTCCTACTGAGCTGGGCCGTCTGCGGTGTTTTCCAACACTCCTTTTGTCTCCTCACTGGGTCTTCACTTTTTTAGTCTCTCTTCTCTTTGCTATTGAACTGTAACGTCTAGAACAAACAAAATGTAGTTTTAGTGTATAAATACTGGTGTTTGGCTCGCTTATATTTGCCTTCTTACCTTCGCTGGTAGAGATACAGAAGGAAGAGGAGCTCATCTCTGAAGCAGGACAGCTGATGTGAGGAGGTGAAGGGAACAGGAGAGGAGAAGAAGGAGGCGCAGGAGCACAGATCTGAGATCAGCGTGTTCACTCCCTGGTGAGGAAAGCAGATTATTCAGAGCTTTTGAAAAACTCACATTATGTTGAATTTCAGTGGTGCATTATATTTGGCCTTTGCTCTGAGGGAGGTACTCACCCTGTACATCAACACTGCCCCCTGCAGGTGGCTCACAGACCTTAACTAGCAAACAGACAAACATAAAAAGAAATGTTAACATGGTCTTATTCTGCTACTTCACACATTTCATCGTATTTTTGGTGGTGTTTTCTGTGAAAGACCGGCACAAAGTAAGACACAACTGTGAAATGAAATCTAAATGGTTTAAATCTAAATACCTCTTTTTTACAAATTGGAAAAAAAAACATCCAGTGCAACCAACTGCATTTAAACGCAACCGAATTATTAATTGGATTACTTGCTAATCCATTTAAATGTCTCAGAAGTTTGCTTAAGAACATCAGACAGGCCAGTGGTAAAGTTGTGGAAAATAAAAAAGTTTAAACAACCCAAAAGACCCATGGATATCTCAGTCGATAGTTCGGCTACAATCAATAAAATCTGTACATCCATTTCAACTGATAGACCATTAAAAAAAACAAGGACGAAAAATATATCAGAGAGCATCCAAGATAGGGAACTCCTAAATCTTTGGTAACTCTGGAGGAGCTGCAGAGACTCACACCTCAGGAACAACTACTACTAGAACTCAACACAAAGCTGGTCTCCCTGAAAGAGAACTGTAGAAGGAAGAAAGCCATGAGAGGTCATTCTTAAAGGCCATAGGTCCGCTCTCATCAAAATGAATAATTTTTAAAAGTAATAAATCCACAGAACATCAAGACTGGTGCGTAATAAAAGTATGAATTTGACCAAAAATACATTTAGAAAAAGGAAAAGAAAAAAAAAAAGTTGTGTTTTTGTTTTTATAAATTTTGTCAGGTCCAAAATATTTAAATATTCCTTCTGTGTTTGATGCAAACATCAATGTGAAAGGATTATGTTCCAATAGGAAGAGGAGGTTAAAGTGATGCAGAATTCAGGCATTGCTAGATCCTAGTAGCTCCATGGTGGAGCTGAGAAACGGTTGTGTTGTTTATTAGATTGTTAGATTGTTATCTGTTTATTAGATTAAAGCCAAAAAGTAAAGCTATTTGGAACTACTGTAGTGCTGACTTAAGGAAAAAGGTCCTTAGAAGGCATGCAGAGGTTGCCACTTCTCTTTTGAGCTGGTAGGTTAAGTATTTGGTTTGCTTAGCATTAGTACGAGTGAACAAATGCCACTTAGTGGCCAGAAGGAATTAAAGTTGTAGATTTTCCATTAATGTTAGCAACAAACCATGCAGGGAAAAAAAGGAAAACAAAGAAAAAGTGTTGATATCCCCTTTACCGCACAACCTGTGGGGAGGATTTTCCCCTATAGATGCATAAAAGCAGGCCTGAGTCAATCAGAAGGTAGACGGATCCAAAAAGAAATTGCTTGAGAAAAAATATCAGAGCCTGGAAAATACTTGAAACTGGGGCAAAAGTGCAACTTCCATCAGGACAACAACCTCAGAATGATTTAGTCAGACCATATTGGATTATTTGTGTTTAGAAAACAAAATCAGAGCATGACTTGAGTTCCCCCTGGTTTATCAAACCTTGTGGTTGATGAAGATCTGAGGAGCCATGGATAAAAAGCCAAGGGCGTAAACTCCTGGGGAAACAACAAACACGTAAGTTACAGTATCTACAAAACACATTAGACATAAGGTGTTGTGAATAAAATGTACATAAACTCACCAGTAACCAGGGTGTTGATCAGCCAGGAATAGTAACTGTAACACAACACATTTTAAAGTGTAAAGATAAATTCTTGTTTTAACATTTACAACATTTCTTAGTTTGGTTAAATAAAATCTCTCTTTATGATCACATGTTCAGCTCTTATTTGAACCTAACCCCTTAAATCTCCTCAGTGCTGAGGAGGAAAACGTTCAATAATAAAGCTGAAATGAAGCATTTAGATGATTTCTAAGAAGATGCTTTAATTTATGCTTCAAAGTGGATCCATGAATCTCTGAACAAGCTCACTTTTTCTGGCGCAAGTAGCCCAAAGAGAAGACGGCTCCGCTGATGCACAGAGGATACACCAAGTAGGACAAGTATCTGGAGGCCTGAAGGGGAAAGTAGAAAGGACTGAAATCAAGCAAAGCCTGAGGCAGAGCGTTAACTCTGAGCCGAGAGACAATTAATAAAATACCACCAGCACCTGTGTGTCCAACTCCACCGTCTTTCGCTCCTCTTCATCTAGCTTGTTTGTCTGCACGGCGAGATAAAAAGCCGTTTGAAGGTTTCAAAACAGTCACACATGTTATATCGTTAATGTTGGGCTAACACTCCATACTCACATAAAACCTCCTGCTCAGGTGGATTTTAAACACTTTAAACACCTTCCACACCTGGTGACACGAGGGATTATTGAGGTCAGGCTTTTCTTGATATATTAAGTTATTAGTTTAAAGGAACAGGTGACAGGAAGTACCTCGACACACGCTCCCAGCCCGACAGGAAGGAGCACCAGCAGGCTGGTCTCCTCCAGCAGATGAAGGAAAACCAGCAGAGTACCGAGACAGCGCCATAGAACTGGGAACAGAAGAGAGGAGGAGGAACAGCCGAGCGTTTATGGTGAATGTTTGGATAAAGCAAAGTCTGCAAAGTCACAGAGGGAGGTATAACTTACCTGACTTCCTAGACATTCCTGCCATGCTCTTTTTTTTCCTCCAGGAACTTATGTCATTTTTCAGAGCCAGAAATTCACAAATGAGCTGCAAAATAAAAAATTAAAAAATGGTATAACAATAACAGTTATCAGAAGCACACATTATAATAAACTTTGACGTAACTGATTGGGATTTTATACAGCAGACCAACATAAAGCTAACAATTTATATTATGTGAACTTTTTCCCATAGTTTTCTCAAAACAGTTGTGTTCATTTATATTAAGTCGCCTCTTGCTGAAAACTGACCCTGTAAGCCTACAGTACAGTCAGAGAGCTACGATAGAATAAGCTCCGGCTGCAGAAGATAAGTAAACTGCAGCTTAGGGCTCCCAAACCTTGAATTTTACTACAGAACTAAGATTTATATATTTGTTTATTGAAAATGTTCAATGATTTACCAGTTTCAGGACAGATGAATTAAAACTTTTCAAATCTAAAATTTAAAGGAATTGTCAAGTTTACTTAGTAAAAGAAGAGAGGAAAATGTTATTTCATGGTTGTGTTAACAGGCAGAAATCTAAATCTGATGCCGAATTTAATCTTTATTTGTTTTCCAGCTCATTTTCTTCATAAATTCATCAAAAAAAATAGTAAAGGCTTCTCTGTTAATGATTTTTATACTCAGCCTTCTGTTCCAAAAAGACCAACATTTCCAACAAAGGCCGTGGGTGGTACCAGGTGATTTTTGGATTTGTACACAGTTCCAACTTGTTTATTTTAAAAGCAGACGCAAAAATAATTGCTAAAAGTCTTGCAACTTAGTTGAAATGAAAAATAATGTCAATTTAATGTTTGGAGCTCTAAAAAAGTGGTCAAAAAATCTTTTAAAAAACCAAATCCACAGCAGACATTTATCAAACGATTGATCTCCGCCCAGCACCCGGTGTGTTCTTAATTACTCAAATGAATTGGAGGGTCTAACAATTAACAATCTAATCTAAACAATTCCAATTATAAAAAAATTCATTACAAATTTTGGTTCTAAAATAAGTTAAATATAACTAAAATGGTAGAAATTACAAATGAAAAAAATGTAGCATAAATGACCACAAATGTTTACTGAAATACTGTTCTGGGCAGTCTTAGCAGAGAAGTGGACAAGAACCCGGTTCAGCCCTTGGCCTAAGCTCTGATTAATCATGGTCATATATAATAATGTGTTTTATTTATGAAAGATTGTAAAAAAAAAAAAACATATATCCTCTTCCTTCCACTACATAATTATACCCTATTTTGTGCCGATCCATCACAATAGTAATTAAACTAAAGTCTGCTGTTATAACGAGTCAAAATCTGAAATAATTCAAAGAGTATAAGGTAGAATTGCAAAAGTATTCTTGGTACGATACCCTTACCTGTAGAGATGTGATGAGTGCAGTCAGCACTAATAGGTAAAGGTTGGAGCCTATTAAAGTCTCTTTAATCTCATCAATATTCTCCTCAGTGAAGCCTAAAGATGCATACACATGTATTACTGTGACAGCCAACAGCTCCATTCAAAGCACATGTGATATTTAAGGAAAAAAAAAAAAAAAAAACTTGCATCTCAGCTCACCAAATTGTCTCAGGGAGTAAACTATATCATGCAGATGGATCCAAAACCTGAAAGTCCTCAAAGAGATTCCTTCATAGGACAGAGTCAGAGGAAGCTGCACGCTGCTGCTGTTGATCTCCTGCCAGACAGAGGAGGCAGTCGCCTCAGTTGGACCAGAAAACCCAGCATGTTTGATCTGTTGGGAGTTTGTGTGGGCCGCCCTCTTACCATGAGGTCTTTGACTCTGCAGCTGAGCTCATTGACCAGCAGCAGAGGCAGATACACCATCCGCCTGCCCTCCTGGGAGCTGCAGGGAGAGAGGGAAGAAGAAGAAAAGATGCTCCATGTGGGAGATCACTGTTTTATCATTCAATTACATTTTTTTTAACATTTCCTTTTTTGTTGTTTGTAATTTCCTACAAAAAACATATAAACTTCCTACTATTAAAGTTTTATCCTGTTAATTCTGGAATGCCTTGTTCTGTAGATGTGTCTGGAAATATTTTATTTTTTAATTGTTAATTTTGAAAGTGTCATAGCCTGCCTCCTCAATCCTGGTTTGTTCCTATTTTTACCGATCAGATCCCTAAGGTGTTTTACTTTATTGATCCTTGATGTGTTCCATGTTTAGTTTTTTTATAACCTCATATTCACACAATCTTTTACATATTAGCAACTGAATTAAATCTTGTGATCCAGTTTTGTTTCTACTTGGTTTATCATTCAAAATCTAAAGTCTTAAACTGTCAGAATCCTTGTTTGGAGAGTTTTCTCTTTGCCGTTGGAGCACTGCAGATGGGAGTGGCTGGCTGTCAAGCGCACCTGAGATCTATCTGCCCATCTGTCTGTTGGGGATTTTAGAAGCTGGTTCTCTTCCTCGCCTGATGGTCATATAAGATACGACGATTGGAACAAAGCTCTCCCGGATTGATGTCTCAGAATCAGGCTCTCTTGTTGCCGACCTCTGCTACCTATTCCTCTCCTCAGGGTCGCTCTGCCTGTCCGCTCTCCAATGCCTCTAAGACAGTTCACTCTCTTCATTGGAAACCCATCCTTTGGATGATATTCTCCTCCAGCGTGAGCCTTCATCCTCCTACACAGCTGGCGGCTGTGTCCCCCCCGGGACTCCCTGTCCTTTTCCCATCCTGCTTGGCTGAGTATGTAAAGAAAACTCCAAACTCTCATTTATTTCCATCTGATTCTGCATGTGGGTCAGAAACGTTCAGCCAAATATGACAAAAACATTGCTTTAAAATCAAATCAGATCTGAACGGCATGTTTATAATCTTTTTTTTTTAATATTAGATGCTTTTTTTTTTTTTTTTTTTTTTTTTTTTTTTTTTTTATGCATTGGTTCTCCAGCGATGCAGTACATAGCCTGAACAGCAGCAGTGAATCCTAACTGCTGCTCACTTACACTCTCATGTAGCGCCGCACGTCACTGGGAAGCCCCGCCTTGCTGAAGATAAAATCCTCTGACATTAAAGTGACGGGCAGGTGCGGTCGCCAGTGAGATGTGGGACTCTCAGATCCTGGTTTCTGTTGAGGCCAAAAATGTTGTATTTTCAGCACAGTCACAGTGACATGAGGTCAAACCGGGACATGGTTTTATGTATCCTGTTACCTTCACCGCGCCCCTCTGGCCGTCGGGGTGTGGAGGCGTTATGTATGTGGTAAGATGAGCAGTGTAGTGGACTTCTCTTCTGTCCTCCAGGGGTGAAACTCCGGCTTTGTGGACGTAAACGACGGCATACAGAGAGCCATTATTCCTGGTCTCCTCAGGCAGAGGGATGCTGACCTGTCTGTGGAGACATAGAAACATGATGATGATTGTGGGGCATTGTGCTCATCCACATACAGTGCTCAATGTTAGATGAACTTATTCAAACTCCACATTTTTTTCATGTGTTTAACTTTACAAATTCCTCAGTGATTTTCGCCTTGACCCTATGACAGAATGAAACAAAGTTGTCTTTTTTGTTGTTGTTAGAGAAGCGGAAGGAAGGAAACCTGTCTTTAAAAGTGTGGCATGGATTTAAAATGATGTGAAATCAAAATAAAATCCAGTGAAACAACTGACTTCAAGCATCACATAATTGGTAAACAGTCCATCTTGGCAATAGAAATAGATTTTCTCTAAAGGCCTCAGGGGCATTAGGAAGACCAAAGGGCACAGCAGGGTTAGGCAACATAAAAATGGTTAGATTTTGATTTTCTCAAAGGTCAAACTGAACACTGTTCAAACCCTAGTTAAAAATATCCAAAGGGAACGGAAAAACTGCACACTGCCTTGTTGGGAAAACAAACTTCTGGAGGAGATCCTGGGAGAAATTCTAACCGGATGATTACAAATCATGTTAGCACATAGCAAAAGAAGTAGCACCATTCACGGTAAGCTGAGACCACATTTACACCCACTCTGAACAAAACCATCCATTGCAAAAAATAAAAAAAAAATGGTGGTGGCAGCATTATGTTCTGTATTAGCTGTGATTGTCGTCTTAGTTCCTGCAGGATAGCAGCCTCAAACATAGATCCAGAGGTACAATGATATGGTTTAGGTTAAAGCACATTAATGTTTAAGCCTTAAAAGGAAAGGCTTAAAAGTTTTTTACTTTTCATTTGTACACAATGTTGACACCATCCTTCCACTTCACAGCAATGCACCACTTTCTGTTGGTCTGTCACATAAAACCCCAATAAAAGACACTAAAAAGTGCAGTTTAAGTTGCACAGCTTCTTTGTGTCAAACCCACCTCTCAAATGCAGAGTGAGGGTCAAAGGGGTCTACTTTTACAGCGAGGGTGAGCTGGCTGTTATCTGGCACGAGGCAGGTAAACACACTCATCTAGATAAAAGACAACAAGGTGGAAAAATAGTAATTAAAAACAAACAAAAAATTAATAATTTTATCATAACCTACAAATCATGTGGTTAGTGAAGTCAGATTATTTAACATGGATATAAACTGTAATTACTACATGGAATAATGACCTAATCAGACATTATGTGCATTTTGTAATTTAAAGCAACATTCAAAAACCATTCATACATGAATCAATCGTCAAGTCTATTTATCTTCATCTCAATTCAATTTACTTTGGAAATACTTAATTAATCCCAAAAGGAAAAGTAAATCATTTAATATGAGGAAAAATAGCTTTACATAGAGAAATGTTACATAAGTGTATTTTATGTTATTCTGAAAAAGATTATGTGGATTTCTATATATTTTCCATCAGGTTCTGGTTAATTTGAAAATAAAATAAATAAATCAAAGCTTTTTTTTACCTGCAGTCTGGGTTTAGCAGCCAGGTAGGAATTGATGCAGGGATCCCCTCCGCCTACATCGCAGGGTTTGGTGTTGAGGAAGCCATACAGCAGCCAGGCTGTGTGCAGCATGTACACTACGAACACACCAAGCAGCAGCTTGGCAACGGAGCTCCTCTTCCCCCCGCTGTCTGCAGGTTTGGAGTAACAAGAAGGGAACATGGCGGATGTGAGGTTATATAGTCAGGGAGAGAAAGAGGCGCGATGGAGGCTGGATAAAAGCAAGTCGGACACAGCGTCAAACAACACAATCCGCACCACTTCCTTCCAGCCGCAGCATCTTTCCGGTTCTATCTGCGTCCAGCTGACCGAGGGATGCTGATGCTGAGAAAATCTGCCGCGCATGCGCAGACGCGGATTTAAACGTTAGTATCTGTTGACTGAGAGAAACGTCATAAAAAACGTCCTAATTTAATTTACTCGAATAAAGAGTTCGACTAAAGTAATAAATGGCCTATTAAACATTATAATCTAACGTCTCACTTTTCGGTTTTGTTTTTTTTATTTATCTGGAAGCCTTTGATTAGAGAAATGTGTGTGTGAGACCCTCATTAGCTACTCAAACAAATCCTGTTCTCCAGGGGCGGAGCTAGATGGGGGGCCAGGGGGGGCCATGGCCACCCTTAGCCAATCATTGGCCTCCTGTACCATTTTTTCCCCTATAATACAAACAGTGGCAGCAGTAATACTCTCAATATTCAAAACATTTTAATTTTTCATACATTAACAATTACTTGACAACAAAAACACTGTGGTTAATTATGTACATTAATATACTAACATTAAAGATAAGTACATAATTCCTGTTCTTTTCAGAACTAGATTGTGTTAAAGTGAGAAGGATTTGTCCCCTTGTAAGGAAGGCTGTAGCGCCCCGTGGGCTTTCTCGCCGGTTCTTTTCCTGGGAGCAAGTTATTTACTACTCTTAACTCAAACTGGGTAAAACCATATAAAAAAGGACTATAAAACAGGAGTAAAAA